GATATCAGACCATGGCTAAATTCCTTCTATTATAAGTTTTAAGACTGAGTGGCCATCTTAAAATTCTTAGGGCCATCATGCCCCCAAAAATCACATCATTTTTACTATAGCAACCAGTTTTTACTTATGAGTGATAATCAGGTCCAAAATAGCAGAACCTTTCACTGTTTCCTCTATCCTTTGGAGGATGAAATTATCATTAAGGCAAGGCAAGAAATTATTAGCTGCTCTGATTTGGGAGAGAGGGGAGACAGAGAGAGAGAGAGACAGACATACAGACAGACAGACAGATGTGGGGGGGAGGGGGGAGAGGGAGAGAGAGGGAGAGAGAGAGAGAGGGAGAGAGAGAGAGAGAGAGAGAGAGAGGGAGAGAAGGGGAGAGAGGGAGAGAGAGAGAGAAAGAACACACAGGGAGAGGGAAAGGTAGACAGGGGAGTGGGGGGAGTGCTCCAGCAGATGTGTGAATAATAGAAGTCATCCATTACTAGTGTATTATGCCCATTCTCAAACTCATAATTTGCTCTGTTTTCATTTCTCCCTCCACTGATCTTTACCTCAAAACTCACTCTGGTTTCTGGATTTTCTCACATGCCCATATTTTCTTAACATATAATTGTATTCCACCAGCCTTTTCCTCTCAATTCTTTAACTTTTGTATGATTTATAAAATAAAACTCTAGGCAAATAAGTTTTTATCAGATCTTGATAGACTCCATTCTTGGTCAACGGCTTTTGCACCATTTCTCTGTTAGGCAAACATCCCTCTGGAGTCACATAAAACAGTTCTATCCCTAATTCATCTATCACATGACAGCCCTTCTTTAGGTCAGGCCCCTAGCCATTCTGGACAGTCTTCTTTGGACATTCTCCAGGTTGTCACCAGCCCTTCAAAAATACTATTGACATTTAATTATATTTAATTACGGTTACTGAAATTTAATTATTCAGCTCTGCTGCACCTTGTCCTTCCATTATGATTATGCATAATTTTGTGTGAAATCTTAAGGGGAGGTAAATATGGAAGACACCTTCTTCAAATTTTTTTTTATTAAGAACTATGGATATCATACATTATTAAGGCTAGTGGAGCCTTAAACACCTTGATGCATCTGGGAGTTTTATGTTCTTGGTTTAAAGACTTTAAGGAGAATTCCTGATAGGGAAGATGCTAAGAAGGACTGCTGTTTCAAGCCTGGAGAATTTGAATGGCATGTATCTTACTTCTATTTTATGCCTAATTAGGCTAGAGTCAACATGGATACAGGTAACCATGGTCACTGCAAATAACAATTTCTATTTTTTTCTTTCTTGTCCTCAAATCACATGCTAGCTGTGATCTTTTGTAGTAGATGTCTGTTGGAATTAGGATACCTGAATCATGAACATACTTTGTAATCTAGTTTTTGGAATGCTAGAAGTAGTGCTTGAAATATCCCCTGGTAACTCAGTCATCAATATCAGAAGTCGGTTACCTGAGGTCAAGTTTCTTTACACATTTCCACGTCCAACTCTCACCCAGGCCTAGGGAGTCTCACTAGGAGTCGTAACAATAATAATTAACATGTGGTTTGAGAATGAAGAGGCAACAGAAAAAAGGAAATCTGTAGCACACATGGTGCCATGCATTCATACAGACCTGAACCCAGGTGTGAAATGAAAGTCAGGGCTTAAAACAACAGCTCTAAGCTAGCATCCTCCCTTGAGGTCTTTAGAATAAGACCATAATGCTTTAATAAAACTTGAAATGCCCTACTATCTTCAAGACAAAATTCAGTTCAACAAGCACTTATTAACCACCTACTATGTACAAAAAGCATACTACTATGAATAGAGGCAGCTAGATGGTTCTGTGGATACAGTGCTGGGCCTGGAATCAGGAAGACCTGAATTCAGATCTGGACCCAGACACTATCTGTGTGACCCTGGACAAGTCACTGAACCTCCGTTTGCCTTGGAGACAGCTAGGCAGCTCAGTGGATAGAGCACTGGGCCTGGGTTCAGGAAGATCTGAGCTCAAACCTGGCCTCAGACACTAGTTGTGTGACCCTGGGCAAGTCACTTAACCTTTGTTTGCCTCGGTTTCCTCATTTATAAAATGAGCTGGAGAAAAAAATGGCAAATGGCTCCAGTATCTTTTCCAAGAAAACCCCATGGACAGTATTGGCATGCTGTCCTGAAATACATTGGGAATATTCCTACCTTTGCAACTTTTATTTCAGTTTGGCTCACTCACTGAGCCATGAGGTCAAAAAGAGTAGAATACGACTGAACAATAACAATGTACAAAGTACTGCAAAGGCTGTCAGATTCTGCCAGTCCATATAGTATATATACATATTGCTTAGAAGGAATTTTCACATGCACATTCTTATTTGATCCACATAATCCTATGATAATGGTAGATCAAGTATTATCAATCCCATTTTACAGATAACTCAGGAAAACTACTGACTGAGTCAAGGCTATACAGCTAGCAAATGATAGGCACTATCTTGCTTCATATTCACACATCATTTCTAGTCAACTGTAGCACCCAAGGAATTCACATAATAGTACAGTTGGGACATATATCTGTGGGACTAGACATAAATTAGTGTGTTCTGATCCAAGGAATAAGAGCTTTGATCTATCATGAAGGATTTTCTCTTCCTCTTCTCCTAAAGGTAGGAGAGGATGGAAATCTCCAGAAGTGAGAGTGAGCAGTGCCCTGGGGGAAGAAGGGAGGCTCTCTGCAAGGTAGCATGAGAGAAGAGGATGGGAAAGTGGCTGCTTCTCAGCACCTGCCCTACTGTTACAGGGTTACTTTGAATTTGGAGATAGAATGGTAAGCTCCAAAGAGAAGAGGCCACCGCAGCTGTCCCTGTTTTGTTGAGAACTACAATGGGAATATTCCTACCTTTGCATCTTTTATTTCACTGAGCCTATCTCTCATTTCTTATTTCTTTTTAAGTCTATTCATTTTCTGTATTGGCCATACATTCTCAAAAAGAAACTATTTCCTCTACAATATCATTTTGTGTGTGTGTGTGTGTGTGTGTGTGTGTGTGTGTGTGTGTGTGTGTGT